ACTGATCATGACTGAAGGCAGTGTGCTCTGTGGTGCTGGTGTGCATTTTTTTTTTTAAAGGACAAGGGGAGGATTTCTCCAGTGATCATTTGGCTGAGAGAGAGAGAGAGAGAGAGAAGAGAGAGAGAGAGAGAAAGGCTGTGCTGCCAGCTCAAATCTAAATCTCAGCTCATGTCAACTATGTGGACAAGACCTGATCTTATCTTTGCAGTCCCAAGATGGGACCAACATTTCTCTTGTTTAAGGTACTTCTTGTGCGCTATGAAGTGATGTAGAGGTATGCAAAAAGGTGGGTAAACTATCAAGGTCAGTTGGTGATCACCACAAGGCAAACAAGCATCATAATACATTATGACGTCTGTTGAAAAAAAAAAAAAAAAATCATAAATATTACTTTACAGATATTAGTAAAGGTGGCTCAACTGAGTTCTGACACCCTCTGCTACATGACTGGTCAGACAGACTCATTATCTGATTTGAGCTGGGAGCATTAATTCAGCCACAGATAGCACTAATGCCACATAAGTGTAACGTTTCTATTTATATATTCTATAATATCTATATATATGTATATAACTTTATAGTGTGTATTTTCATTGCCGGCCTCTGTGAGGCACATGAATACGCCAGAATTACTAAGACAGCGGTTCCCTGTCTGAACCATTACCCGGTTGCAACATGGCTTTCATTCACAGTGATAGTGAGCAGAGTACGGTATGTGTGTGTGTGTGTGTGAGAGAGAGAGAGTGTGTGTGCTGCTGCTGCTGTGTGTGTTATATCCCTGTATAATTAGCGCTTATGGTTCTATTTAAATACCCTGCAACGTAGATTTGAACACTGAGAGTGGCGGCGCCTAAAGGCCATGTCACAGTCCTTATTGGTTTCATCAGGTAATCAGGAGAGGAGTTAATGGACCATGTGTGTTTTTATGTGTGTGTGTTTGTGTGTGTGTGTTTGACATATTCTAGAGAATATTATTAAGACTGCTAAAGACAGGAAAGATGTGGGGGGAGGGGATAAAGGAAGGGTTCAGGTCTACTAAGGGATACAGACATTGTGGTTTTAGTGCAACAGAAAAAAACCTGATAGTTATTTGTAGTGGATGGCAAGTTGGGATGTGGTTGGTGGAGTTTATTTCAGCAGTGATTAATTCATAGTGTAAGTCTCTGGGATAGGACAGATGCTCAGAATGTCATTTAAACGGCCCAGTGTCCATTTCCACTGTGTCTGCCAGGGAAGGATCTGAAGATGTTCCGTAGGTGCGAGAAAAAGGTCCATTTTAGTGTGGTGGTTCGCCATCGACTTGGCCTGAGTCACGTCGCTACCCACCACAGTTGCTTGCTCACTGTTTTTTTTCCTCCCGTCGGCCAGGATGAAACCATATCCACAGGCAAATACTGCTGACTCACTCGTTGTTTCTTGACTTCCCAGTCACCACCCACATAGTCCGTCGGCCTGAGCCAATCGGGCCAAAATGGCTTCAGCTGCAGTTCATATGCAGTGCACACTGCAATGTCACAAATTCACCCCTGCGCTCTTTTCTGTCATTTCAGGTTCCTAAATAAAAACAGACTCCAAAGTGACTGTTGGTCCCGTGTGGTGCGTGATAAAAATGAAAAAAAAAAAAAAATAGGGGAGAAAATTACAAAGTCTGCCATGTCAGCTGTCAAATGTTGATCCATGGTCCGTTTAAAAGACCTGCTGTACACTGTCGGTGGAGCAGCACACTCAATGGGTCCATGTTGGCAACTCATTTGTGCACTACATGTACATATACAGACGGTTGACAAATGAAAGGAAAAACCAATATCAAGTGTCTTAATAAGGTGTTGGGCCAACGTGTGCCACCAGAGCAGCTTCAGTGCTGCGCTGATTTTACAACTCTGAGACTCTTCCAAAAGATTTGGCGTTTTGATGATGGTGGTGGAGAGCGCTGTCTAACACGTCAGTCCAAAATCTCCAGAATCTTGAAACATGAGTCAGCTGAGCATCTTTGTGACCGAAGCTCCTGCCCCAACAGTGAGCCCTCTTTCAAAGTTCCTCCGATCTTTTCCCCTTGTCATCTTGATGCTGAATGAGAATCAGCTGGGCCTGCTCAGAATTTTTATACCTGCCACAGAGCTTGACTGGATGTTAATTGCTTCATGCAGCGCACCTGTGTGCATTCGTTTGTCCACTAATTTCTACAGGTTTTCCTTTTAATTCGTCACTCGTCTGTACATGTTTATATACGTGTGCATGCATGTTTAGTGTTGCAGACCAAGGGGCAGCTGCACTGAGATGAAAGGTGAGGTAGAATCTGTCAGTTTCAGGCGGGACTTGAGACAAGGTACAGGCTGATGGGGGAGGCCTGCAGAAGTAAGTGGCGACATCCCCTCTCACCACTACCATCTGCTAGCGCTCGACCTATCACAAGACAGCTGGGAGGTGAGGAGGAGGGGCTACGGTACAATTAGGAGGACAGGGCTCCAAAGAAAAGACACCCGCACACACACATACACACAAACACACAAACACACACACACACACACACACACACACACACACACACACACACACACACACACACACACACACACACACACACACACACACACACACACACACACACACACACACACACACACACACACACACACACACACACACACACACACGGAGGCAGGAAGTGTGGTGCAGCCCAGTGGTTATTCATGAGGAAGGAGAGATGATGATGAGAAACAAAGTAACTGAGGTAATACATCAAAAAACAACTGAATGGGTGTGTGTGTGTGTGTGTGTATATGTGTGTGTGTGTGTGTGTGTGAGGTACTGAAAACAAGAGGTATGTGTCAGAGAGGTATTCTAGCAATATAGATATATATGTATATACATTATAATTATTATATATATATAATATATATATAATTAGTTTCTTTTAATTAAGTTTTGTGAATATAATTAATTTACATATATATATTTTTTTTAAGTACAGTGGGTGACGCTGTAAAATGTAGCCTGTAGTTACAATACAGTTCACTTTGAAAATGCATATAATGTATTATACCATTACAACAACAGTTACTTTTATAAGTTCAAGTCTCAGTTTTGCAAGAACGGGTATAAAGCCTTGTGAGTGAAACAGTGCTTTCTGTAAACATATTGAATGAGGAATTTGCTGTGAACTATGAACACAACAATGAAATAACCTGTCAGCTAGCAGTTGCTAACAGCTCTGTTTTGGTCTCCACCGACATCTGGTGTTATCACTACAAGTGACCCCTTTTATATGCGAGTAGTTACGTGATCTATTGTTAAGATCAAAATATGAATTTTGACTTGAATTTCTTTCTTGCTTGGGTAGTTTGCTACGTTTACTATTTTTAACTTAAGCAAACATGCTAACATTTGCTAATCAGTTCTAAACACTGAGCACAGCTGAGGCTGATGGGAATTAGTTTTGAAAGTATTTCGTCATAAACCAAAGTACTGGCGAAACTGACATTTTGACAGAAAGACATTAGAGTTCATCCTCAGGGGAGATTTAATGGCAAATAATCTGACTGATGTTGAAATATATTACTCTGGACCCATGTTCCACATATTGGAAAATAAGCTCATTTACTTTACCTGCTGAGCGTTAGACAAGAATTAAGCTACAGCCAGAAGGTGTTAGCTTAGCTTTGCTTAGCACAAAGACTGGGGGCAGGGAGAAACAGCTAGTCTGGCTGTCCAGAAGTGACAAAATGAACCCCACTCTGCTTCCCGTCTTTGTGCTAAGCTAACCTAACTGGCTGCTGGATATTCTTGGCAAGAAAGTGAATAAGTGTGTTTCCAAAAATGTCGCACTATTGCTGAAGCAAACAACAAACACTTACTATATGATATCAAAACACAATTTCCTCTTCTGCTGCTGTAATCAAACTCCCTAATCAGTCTGTTCACAGAAAGCACTGTGATATTCGCACCATCTTATACCCTTCAATTTATTATTAACACATCTATTATTTTATATATGAGACTTAATAATGCACACAGCAACTGTTGTGTCACACAGGTTAGTGTGTATGAATAACACATTACGGTTTAAAGATCTCATACAAAGTGTTCCCACTGCAACCTCGAACGCCAGCTGAGAGTTAAATAGGTAAGTGAGCATGGTTTATCACTGGACTACCGCCACCCACACAATAAATGAGAAAATACATTTCACACGGTATGAGGTAAAAGTGTAGGGGTGCATATTGTGCATGTACTCTGTGTGTTAGTGTGTGTGTGTGTTAGTGTGTGTGTGTGTAGTACAGACAGAGAGAGATAGAGAGGTCAGTACGTGAGGGAGGTAGGTTGACAAACACTCACAGGGCCTCGGCAGACTGAGGGGTTGGGATGGAGGTCTGACGCCATTGCAGTTAAAGAGATCTAAGGAAGGAAGGGGGGGGGGGGGGGGCGGGGGGGGGGGTGTTCTCAGGAGCTAATGGTCAGGTCCCAGAGATATATATATTTAAAAAAAAAAAAAAACTTTTCTGAGGGGAGAGGGGGGGGGGGATGGAGAGGAGCCATAACCGAGCTCCTCAGGTTGCATTAGTCGCAGGACCAGAGTACAGCTGTTTGTCCCTACAGGTGAAAAAGTCCTTAATGTGATGAGCTTTGTGTTTGCATATAGTTATACTGTAAGTCCATGGCAAGTATGTTTGCAATTTAAATCTGTGATTACCTACGAATGTGTGTTTCCTCTCTGAATGACAAAAAGCAGAGCCAGATTGTCAATGTGTTTCTCCCTGGTGATGTTGATGTGTATGTTTGCTGGTGGCAGGTGGTGGGTCTTGTGGGTGTTTGATTAAAAAACAAAACAAATAAAAACAAAAAAAAAGAAAATTTACAGGGCACGTTCCCACTGAAGAAAAAAAAATCCTGTTTTTTATTCTCCACTTGTCCTTCCCACACACCTCCTCTGCTGTCAGGGCCACCCCATATTCCTTGCCTTATGTGTCCAAGGTTCTTTTCAGGGGGCGCCGTAAAAATCACACTTCCTGGTCCTCAAAGACCTCCAGGAAGAGCGGGGGGAAAAGTTCGTTGGGACACTCCACCTTCATGTGGAGGAAGCGGCTGGCGTGGCACGCCCCGATCATGCGCAGGTCCGTCACCTTCATCAGTAGCTTGGGCCAGAAGTGGGGAATGTTGTGCTTGCGGTAGTTGATGTAGTGCTCGAACGCCAACAGGTAGGCCTCCTGGCACTGCTCGATTTTCTCCACGCTGGTCAGCCCTGAACGGTCTGCAGCGATAAAGAGGAGAGAGAAAAAAAAACAAAACCTTTTGTACATTTATACACGATCTCAGCTTGATGGAACTTTCTACACGTCGTCACCTTTGATTCCTGAATAGAATATTTTATATTATTAACAACAGTAAGGAAATACAAAAAAATCTAAAACATACTTTTAAACATCTTCTGCTTTTCTCTAAGATGACAGGAAATGCGGGTGAGAGTGATGCAACAAAGATCACCGGTAGGACTTTGGAGTTCATAAAGTGTGTTTCCATTCACCTGTAACTGAGTGGAAAATTATCAGGAGGCTGATAACAAGGCCCAATCCAAACACGTGATCCAAAAAAGTCAAAAAGCTGAAAGTGACTTCACTTGGATCCATTTGGTCCAAGTGGCAACCCGCCGTGACATCACCCATTGCCAGAAACAGCCCTTGGTAGTATTGGCTTCACTTTTCAGACCCGGAGACTACGTCCATTTTTATATACAGTTTAAGCTCCAAACACACCCAGAGCTTCTCAGTGTATTTTACAATAAGCCAGCAGTAACTTAAAGAATCTGAAGCCCAGAAAGGAAACCACCAGGATGAATGGATCTGGGGAAACAATGAAGTATTGTAGCTTCATTGTTGAAATTAAGCAATATTTGGTATTGATGTATTTGTATGATAATGTCCTTGTTAAAGTGAATCTTGGAGAATGGGTATTTCCCAAGGGTAGAGAATATTATCCCTATTTGAGAAATGGGAAAGGCTAAACAAAGATGAATAGTGTTTTGATGTGTCCCATTACAGGGGGCCTCATCCTCTGCAGGACGCGGTCCACAAAGGTGTGACCCTTCGTGGACCACGTCCTGCGAAGGCCGAGCCAAAATGAGACAGTCTGGTCTCACGGAGGATTTTCGCTGTGCGTCACCAGCTGTGCCCCCCTGTTACCATTGCAGGATCCAACAAAGGATCCACCTATTGGAAAGTCTTCATTCAAGATAAGACTAGCATCCAGGGGATGAGAGATGCTTTCCATTCGGAGAAGGAGCCTTCAATAAAGAACTTAAGGCTAAGTGCACGAGCAGGAAAGCCTTTAACGAGGAAAAAGATGCTATGTGTAAGGAGAGAAAGGCATTTGAGGGGGAAAAGGAGGAGAGAAGAAACAGACATCCAGAGGATGAGGGAGTCTTCTGGCAACTATGGGACCAATCAAAAAAGCCATTACAACCAGAGTTGTCAACATGTCAGACAATTCATCATTCACTTCACTTTAGATCTGTAGGGATGAACATGGCAACTGCAGCTGCACCAAGAAATGTGAACATAGAAGATGGATAAAGAGATGGACTCAGACACTGCCTCACTGAGCCATTCCAAGCATTCAGTTTAATATGTATATAAATTGCACAATGACATTAATATGTATATACTATAAATAAAGATCTGCTCAGTTTAGAAAGTCTAACACAACATTTTTTCAGGAAATTAGGGGAAGATTTCAGCAAAAACATAGAAATTTTAAAAGAATTCATATTGAATTCATATGTGAAATAAATTTATTAATGAAGTTCTTCTTTAAGTTTGTTGATGTTTTTTTACCATCAACAACAATAGCAACATGCACAGTATTGTAATCTTACAAAAAATACATTGATGGAGATTTTTCCAGAGTTTGTAATTAATTACGAAACTATTTCTGTTTGCTTTAATCAACAACATAAATAATAGAAATGTTTATATGTTGCTGCCCTTGAACATTGACTAAGATCCATCTAAAGATATTAGATATTAGAGTTTGTGCTTTTCTTATTATCAATTCTAATTACACTAAAACACTAATTGACCAAAGTGTCCTGTTAGCGGCATACGGTAAATTTGAAAAAAACATGCTCTCAATACAATTTAATTGCAGTCGGTTTATTTATTAAACACCTTTTCGATGACAATAATTAAGTTTTGAATAAAACGAAAGCACATGCGATGTACTACACTGACAACTGCTTTGAAGTCTAACTGTCAAATCTTCAGGTAAACACTAAAGAGTTTGTAAGGCTAATACATACGAGTCTCATTTTGCTGCAGGTTGCACTTCTGGTGCAGTTCATTACACCAACACATCCGCTCAAAATGTGTCACATGTACCAGCAACACAAAACAAACATCATTAACTTAATGTTGGTAAAATTGATCTTTTTACCGGGTTTACAACCCGTTAGCCAGGTACGGCTAGCATAGCAAACACTAAGGTATCGGCTAGCTAGCTTGGTTAGCAAAGTGCATCGGTAATCCACATTAACTCTAATATTAATTGGGATGATAACAGTCTCCCGTTCTCTGGTTAAAACGCGCTAACTTTTGGGAACATACAGAAAATAAACGTTTACTTACCGGAAAATCTATATCAGAATATCAGCATCCCCCCAGTCTCTTAGTACCAACGAATGAGCCATAATTATGGTGAAAAGAAAACTAATTAAAACTAAATAACTAACAGCAAAACTGTCAGTGGAAAATTCCTCCTCCACCCACAAAAAAAATAACAGCAACTGAGTCAAAATGATGTGCATGCGACTCGAGCTCTCCTCCAGCGAAGGTCATGTCAATCAAACAGGCAAGGCCAATAATACCAATCTTTAAGCCCTAGTATCTAATTAATTAGAGAAGTACACTATACACCGTAATGAGTTGTGGAAAAATATTTATTTCATTAGAGAAGTTGGTGGTTTTTAAATGGGAGTCTGTTGGAGCCAGAGTTTTTTGGAGCCAGCCCCTAGCAGCCCTCAGTGGTATTGCACTTTAATTCACTTACATATTGGCTTCACTTTTCAGACTCGGGGTCTACATACATTTTTATATACAGTCTATGATTTGGTTCAGTGATACTGATCCTGAGCAGCAGCAATAGAAACCCGACCTAGACCTGATGAGCCTGAAAATAATGTGGACCCAGTTAGACTTGGGAAACTACAAATCTCTAATCCCTAGTGACTCTCGGGACAGGTGTAAGATGTTCTTATTCTGATTTACTTACCAATCAATCAATCTTGTGTACATCCTTCCCTTGTCTGCTGCCGACAACTTATAGTATTTACGGCAAATACAACTGTTTGGATTGTTTATGTTCCACTCTGATATGTGGCTCTTCAATCAGTCTGTTAAACTTGGTCGTTTAACCAAATGTGATAGTAACTGATCCTATACATATAATTAACCAGTTCAAAACAGACTATACAGTAGACGTTTATCCCACGACTTGCTGCAAACAAAATGTATTAACCAATAATTAAAAAATGCTAAATTTATATTTCGAATTTAAGCAGATTTTGTGATTAATGGTTTTAATTGTTGAAAATAAGAAAGCATTGGCTAATTTCCACTCAGCCTCAAAAGTAGAAATAAATTTGATGTGATGATTTTACTTTCTCAGACTTGTTAAGCTAAAATCATACGACTGCTGTCACAGGCTGAGCAGCCAACACGACTCATGAAATCATCTGGATGTGGAAAACTGGGGGAGTTCCCCCTTGATGTGGCATGTGGAATACGACTCCTTGTTCTTACACAACTTATGACAGTGGTGCACAGAAAAGACAAATTCCTCATGTTAATGTGGGAAGGTAAAGCACGAGTTCTGTCAGGAGATCTGAAGCAGCAAAGCCTTTAGTTGTTGTATTATTTATGTGTCAGTTATTGAATTTTTTTTACTCATTTTTGCCAGAGTCTTTTATTCAAGATACTGGGAAAACAGAGTAAAACCTCCTGCTGTAAAGAAGTGAGGTGAGAATAGGAAAAACAAATCACTAAAATTAAAACTTCTTCTTTTCCAAACACCAGAAGTAATAGCAACATGATTAGGAAAATTAAATCATTTTAAATATTAAGATTATATATCTACGTCTTTATTTGTTGCTTACCTGAGCTCATGAGCAGCACGGCCTGCATCAGCGCCACCTCCGAGTCATCCAGGTTAAACTGAGCCAGGCTCTTGCCCAAATCGAAGATGGCGTCCGACACCACGCCCAACCCGCCGTTCTTCAACTGCTCACGTTTCACAGCCATCTCGCCGTTTAGCGTCAGTGTCTCGCTGTCGGGATCGTAGCGTACAGCGGCGCGCAGCGACATGATCTCCATGCAGCAGCCCTTCAGCAAGATGATCTGGTCTTCACAAGGCAGCTGGGGAAACACCATAACAACACGTGAGGTCATCAGGAAATTATATGACAGGAAATACATGATCATAGAAAGAATTTTCATCTAAAAGACCAGCAACAATTATCATCTACTTTCACATAATGACTAAGAAAAATGTAAAGCAGGTTAAGGCTTATAAAAGTGCACTAATGAAAATAATAAGTGATCGATTGAACCAATTAAGCTAATATTATAGGTGGCAACATACTGTTTGTCTTTGTGTTAAAATGACCTATTACCTGTTAGCTGCATTAATCAATATGAAGAAAGGCTCAAAGGACTATGTTTAATTTGAAAGGGGTCACTCATGGTTATGAATTACCACCTGATCCTGCAGTTCCCCTCAGCTCTACAGAACATTTAGCCTCCAGCAAAAGGCAAAACTGCTAAAGAGCTAAAACTAACAAACAGATCTAGAGAAAAATCTGCCTTGTACGATGTCATATCAAAGTTTATCTTTAACCACCAACATCATTATCTTGGTGTGCGTCCTTGCAGAGAAAGGCGTGTTATCAAGTGTTATCTGCAACACGTAACCAGAAAGCCCCTACAATAAAAGATGACTGCGTTCCAACACATGCGAGGACAAACACACTCCCTCACACATCGTTTGCATAGAAAGCAGAGCAATATCAGTGAGTGGTGAGTCATCACATCATCCAGAGAGACAGAGGGAGTGAACGTGATAACTGATGGGGGAGGGGGGGTGATTGTTATTTGGTGTAATAACAGCCGACAAGCAAAAGCTCACATTTTGGTAAAAAGTCAGTCAGAAGCGGCGTCCAAAATCTTTTTTTCCTCTCCAGTGAACTACATTTAATCTCTTTTATTCAAGGTAGCACATTTTTAGTATAAATTGCCCTCAAAAATTACATTATGTCACAATCAAAATGTAGTGTCCAAGGCATGTACACTGATTTACCACCACCAATTCTTATTAATTTTTTAAAACAATGGGTCCTTCATTTCCGACAGAAGTAGACAAAAGCAGACCTGTACCTGGCAACTGTAGATTTTGCTAGCTAAAATAACAGTTGTCACCGTCAGCTAGATAGCTAATTCAGCTAACATTAGTGCCACAAGTTGATTCAACACAAAGTGAAAGGCTGACTTTTAATATTTTCAGCTGATTTAAAATAGTATGTTTGGTATGTTTCCCCGAATAAAATGGTATGGTGCAGATCAAGTCATGATATTTACATTACTTTTAGAATTAGGATTTGGGATAGCTAAATGAAACTTCTGGCCCAACATATGCCTGGGTCCTCGGCCAGAGTCTGGCCCATAGTTATACTTCCACATCTGAGCAGATTACGGCCGTCAACCTCCAGGACAGCAGCCACATTTTCTAGATGTGTGTCAGAATTCGTCCAGATGTGGAAGTAGCACTGGATAATTATGCCATATACAGGCTAAATTCAGGACCATTTACTGGGCCAGAAGAAAACGAGCATGTGGCTCAAGTAAAGGATGGATTTATTTTGCTACCTGGGCACCAGTCAACCCATGCCAAAAATGTAAGCAATAATACCATGAGGCACTCCGGATGAAAGACTCCATCTGTTTCTAAACTACCACGTACTGAAGTTGATGAGAGACTGGAACCCACAAATATGTTTGAGTGTTAAAACAGATTTAAAAATACACTCCACCCACTGCACCTACCTCTGAGAACATGGGCAATTTCTTGGCAAAGTCGACGACGCGAGTTATGGCAGGGGTCATGATCTTGGTGAACTCACTGAAGGCTTCGAGGTCCACTTTATCACCATCGGAAGTGGGAACCATGGGACCCTGGCCGATATCGTCCGGCTAGAAACAAGAAATTACATTGGTAATGAAACCATTCCTTCTTTAAATGTCAAAAGGAAATGCTAATATTTGAGTTTGATGAATGAAGAGAATGTCCTGTGGTTTTACATCCTCTACATTTTACAGGTTTTCCAATAATGGTGGACTCAGAAAGTTGCCATAACTGATGTTGATGTGTTGACTAAGAGAAGAAAAACTTGAAATTTTTAAAGACACTGGTCTTTAAAAGGTTTACAGACTTGTAAAGAGCACAAAATATAGACTCATGCCATGTGGAGACTCATGTGGCAACAGTCTGGAACCAATTTAAATACCACCACACTATAACACCAGTCCAGATAGACAGAAGACCTGAGTACAATATAGATGCAAATTGCTTGTATTTGAGGACGACATCATATGAGTTTAACAGCGTAATATAAAGATAATTGGATGAGCAATGTCACAGAGCAATGTGGACAAGTGAAATCAGTTCAGAAGGTGAATATCAATATGAATGCATATAACACTAACATTGATCAGTCTAAATAAGTCTGCAATGCATTTTCAGCACTGTTTCCAACAGCTTAATCTGCTTAGTCAAAAAGACCTGACTACAGTGGACAAAAGTTTTAGGAGGTCAGAGTGTGAACAGACACACACACAGTGGATCACAAATTGAAAGGCATTTAGCAGCCTCTTCCAATCAGAGCAACAGAGCTGAGGTAAGAGGTTATCTAATTATCTGTGTGAGCGCTGCCAACACTGCACAGGTTTCCATTCATAGCCACACAGCTGATCCCTATCCTACTGTGATAAAACGGGAACCTGAGAGCTATAACAAACAGGAAACGGCTTCAGGCAACACATTGATGGAGAGACTTTATTAATCACTAGAGGGAAACTTCTTCAGCAGGATATTTGGATGAAGGTCAACACAGTTAATGAAATACAAAAACAACTGTAATATCTACAAAATGACAATACTTAAAAGATTATGGACAATAATTAACTTGATTTTTAAATGAACTGCTCTGAGTTATTCTTCTATGTGGTAATTCTGTAATGTAATTTTACAGCTCCTCTTACCGGCTTTGCTCTGGAGCCCCAGTAACAACAGGTTGGTGAGCCAATCAGGAGAGACGCTCTGAGCCTCTCTCCTGATTGGCTGACTGTTTTCTGAGTGATCTAATAAAAATATTGCAGATTTCAGGTAAACACTCAGAGAAACCAAATCCTGCGAGGCTGAACAGTGGATATGGGTTGGTGGGGCTTAGGGCATTGCTTGGGGCAGTGACTGCTTTGTTGTGACATAACAAAGTTACAGAAGTCCTGACGGCTCGTTTTAAGGCTCAGTTTCTGAATACAGGATGTGTGCATTTCTCTGTGGACTGAGCGCTTTGATACTTTCACAGTATAAATATAGAACCTAGACCTGATCTATAATCAAAACAGACATGGAAATCTCACTCTATACAATATGGGACCTTTAAGTGTAGCAGAATTCTGAAGTGTTTTTTCCTGTGTTGTAACCTTCACACAGTTTGTTTTCAGTGGATCAGAACCAATCTAAAGTACTTAATAGTGAAGTTGCTGTAACAGTGGAGAGTATCTGTGCTCTGATTGCTTTGCCTACTTGCAACCAACAGTGGAATCCTTCGTCTTTATTCACCTTGGAGTGAATTTTTTCAGCAGACCTTCAAAAACTATATTCGAATGTAAACCTGTCTTTGCCTTCATGGGATGGTTGCCTGGTAACTGTCATCTGACCTTTGTCTCAAGGTAACCATCGGCAGCGTGGACACGTGCGTCTACACGTGACGCTGATCACATGGGACGCCACCACAGAGTGAGTGGCTGATGAAAAGGATCGCTGTCAAGACTGTTCCTTTTGAAAATGAAACGAAGTCGCTCTCTTTCATGCGTTAGCTTGTCTTTTGAAGTGAAAACAATTTTCAACGTATCGAACATTTTGGAATAACTAGCTACATAAAAGAGCTGCAATCATTTTATAAGAATCTGACTGACAGATTCAAGGAGTGTGATTAAGATTCAGATGCCTGTTAATGAAAATGTGACATAATTAATTACTTTTCATTGATTAGTCAGAGGCCATACTCTGTGCAAAAGATTAAAAGATAGTGAGGAGGTTTCCTTCCCAGTGTGTGAGTGTCCAGTATGTAAGTGTAGGTATAAAAAATATGCTGTATGGAATTACAGTACAGCAGCCCAAACTGTCCTCAGTCTTTTACAGCACATTGTATTTTGCTTTTATATTTTGGCAAACTGGCACCGTTAAAAGTATTTCAGATTAGATATGAACTAGATTTAAAAAACATATGCATCATGTTTGTGTGTTCAGATTTGTTACGACTTGTGAAAATGAGAACGGTTTTCGAGGCAAATAGCAGAAATCTAAGGGTCTAAGGGTGGTAAGGGTTTTAAACTGCCTTGTATGAGCTGTGTGCGTCACATCCACTGCTGCTGCGTGGGCCAAATCAACTGCCAAACTTCAATAGCCTGTTGTTTTAAGAACATCAGCGTGCATCTTGTAGTTTCATCTCATGCAGGATCGTTGCCTCATGTCTCCGCCTCTTCTCCTGCTCTTCAGCTAATTTTTAAACCTCTGATTTTAATGAGAATAACTGAGAATCTAAAGCCCATTTAATAAAGAAATCTTTTAACTTAATGCTGTCAAGTCAATAGTATTTTATGAAAAGTGATGGTATCAGAGATTAAAAAGTGATTTGAAACATAATTTTTTGTCAGAGGAACAACAGAGTATCCGTGCATGATGTACAACTCTGCAAACTGAAAACCCTGCATTGAAAATATCACTGCTTTGACTTTCTTGTGAAACATTTCTGTTCATTACAATACACATAACAGTGATCTATACCTCCACAAAACTAAAAGCTTACCAGGAACTTGCGCTTCTGTTTCCAGCTGGAGCCCTGGGCGTTGGTGTGCCGGTGAGCCTCGGTTACCATCCTGATCAGGTCCCACTCTGCAGTGTCTGGCTCTGGCCTCATCTGCAGCGTCCGTACCATCTCCTCTCTCTTCCGTCTCTCTCGATTCTCCTCGATCAGACGCCGCTTGGCCACACGCTTCGACTCATCTAACACCACTGACAGGTGGGATAGGGGAAGAAAACATTTATCTGAATGAATACAGGGACGCTACAGTGGAGTTAATAATCACTTTCTTTGTTTTCTGTCTTTCTATTTGCACTTTATTTATTGGTCTATCTGTTTATCTGGCTGTTAGTGTTGAGTTTAAGTGCACGTTTTCTGGTTTGGTTGTGTATCTGTCTTTGCTTTGTCGGTAGATTGTGTTGTGTTCACGTAGTTCTCCTGTGTTTCTCCGTCTACAGCCATGTTAGCAGCTCTGTAAGACTGTATATAACGTGCTCACAGTGATGATGCTAACATGCTGATAAGCAATAAACGCCCTGTTAACAAATAAAGTGTTTCTGTCCACTGAAATGCTAGAGGGCTTTTATTTTGAAATAGTTACAGGAAGTGTTGAGTTCGTAACTTTCACCCACGGCTGGTCCAGCCAAAAATGAAATAACCTCAACCTCACATTTCTTGCAGGAAGGTGACAAAAAGAAGAACAGATGAATCCAAAAGAAAGGTTACTAGATTTTTAATATTCTCAGAATTGAAGCTAGACGACCTTCAAAACTCTAAGTAGAATATTGAAAGGGAGTCAAAGTGTCAGATGAACGCTGAATGCCAGAAAGATATAAATGGATTTTCCTTGGCTGTTTTATATTATTTGTGTTGGCAGAGGGAAAAAAAAAAGTTGAACTGTTGTACAAACACTGTGCATGATGCTAAAAAAAAATAAATCACTGCAATTCTTATTAGTCCTGAATACATGTTCACAAAAATCTTACAGAAAACATCTAGTTCTTGTTGCATCATATATGTTGTTACTCTTTCTATATATTGTATTCTTCATTGACCCTCCATGACGTCTGAAGTTGTTTCTTATCTGTTTATTAGTTAGCGGGCCTCCACTGCTGCAAATTACAGCACAGATATTTCAAGGACCACTGCTGCTACAGTAAATGCAATTTAAGCAACATGATGTGAGTGCAGTGTGCTGCAAGTGAAGTCCAGATGTTCTGTACGTTTTCATCAAAATATCCAGAGGAAAGGAAAACATTTCCTTTATCCACAGGAGCAGATGTACGGCCAAATCAATATCAGTGCCAACATGATACGAGAAGATGTTGGTGCGTGTGTGTGTGTGTGTACTCTGTTATTCATCTCTGTAACTAGTAAGACCGCAAGGCAGTGCAGTAAATGTGTGTGTTCATCTGTGAATACACATGATGCAGACAAATGTGGCACAAATGTGTCCGTTGCTCTGATCTAACGTAACTTCTGCTGCTAAGGTTGCACTGTAATATTTTTTATTTAAATTTCTTTATATATTTTTTTAGTTTTTTTTAGTACTGAAGCACAGCAGTGCTTTGAGCTAAATGCTAATGTCAGCGTGCTAACGTGCTCGCCAGGACAATGCTCACATGCTGACAATGCTGAGCAAGAATACATTTTACCACGTTTTCCATCCCAGTTTAACTTGTTCGCATGCTGGCAATTGCTAGTTGGCCACATTAGCATTCCCGTGAGTCTGTACTTGTGGTGGGGAGAATACACGAATAACTCACAGTCCATGGCCATGCCCACAGAGATGCACTTCTTGAAGCGGCACAGCTGGCACTGGTTGCGGGTGATCTTGTCAATGATGCAGCAACCTTCGTATTTACAGGAGTAAGACGGATGGAGGTTTTTCTGGATGGTCCTGCGGAAGAAACCCTGGAGAGAGCAAAGGGAATGGGAGAAAGAGAAGAAAAGATGGACAAAGGAGAGAGGGAAAAATAAAGAAAAGTACAAAATGAAATAAAAACAGAGATACAAAGATAATTCAGTGTTTGAGAGACATTCATAACCCCATATCCTCAAAATCAAATCCACCAGTTAGATTTTATTGTGTATTGATAACATAAAACAGCAGTTTTGATAGCATAAAACAAGTGCATTAAATGGGTCACATCACATGGCAGGCTGCTGATTGCAGGGCTGGTGATTGCAGGGCTGGTGATTGCAGGGCAGGAGCTTGTTTACCAAGACTGGTTAAGTCATGAAGTGATGGCATGACTAAACATCTCTCAGTAACCACTTTTATACAAGACAGTTTGTTTAGGATCACACTGCTGGAGTGGGTTTGTTAAAGTCTTTTATAAAGACAGGATCTTAAGCAGAGACGTATCGAGGAGGCAGGTAAGAGAAGTGGCTCTGGTATTTAGAAAAATCTGCTTGCACAGCAAGAAAGAAAAACTTTTTTGTTAACTGGTCACTCTCCAATCCATCCTCGCTCAAATCCATAAAAACTAAAAAGCATGCTCAACAAAAATAGTATAATACCAATACAATAAAACTTGTTTGTATTCCCTGAGGGAAAGCAACAAAGTGTATTTCTGCTATTGAGCAGCACAAACTAACTTTGAACCAAGTGGCAGTGGCCTTTAGCTTTAGTTAGAACGACTGATGTCAACAAAGCAACAAATCCCATCTTACTGAACACAAAACTGTTGTAGGAGGCTTTAACTGGTTAATTAAACCAGGAAAATTCAGTTAGCTTCAACAATACATGAAGCTTAGTGAACGTGCTGTCAGGAAGACTAAGGTCAGTCATTTGACGGTAGGCATTTACAATCTAATTTTGCCATGGCCTCTGTTGCTGCTGTCAGAGTTTAAAATGCCTCCTTTCTGGGCTGCTGTCAGCTATCATTTTAGAGCCAGATTTACCACGTCCAGTCAGAGCCAGAGCCAAACCAGATCCAATCCCATAAGCGCCTCAGGAAAAGTTTAAGGTCACATCCAACCGGCTTTTCAACCAGCTTACTTATCTGGAATATTCACATGCAGCTTCATGGGGTCGTAAACCCATGAAAGTTTACGACTGACTAGTTACATTTGTCTTCAGCTTTGATTATTTGTGCAAAAACAAAAGCGTTGGAGCGTGAACAGCTAAAGTAATTATGTCACATGTGAAGGGTGTTAAATATAAACTGATATGTTTGTTGAAATTGAAGTAAAATTGCTCATGACTAAAATAAGCCGTAGGAAGACAGTGTTGATAAGCTTCAAGGCTCAAACTGTGGTAATGTGGCAGAATTTAATTTCAAAATACTTGAACTGTCATGTCAGCAGTCAGTTTGAGTTGGAGTCATATTTTCCAAATGATGATGAGATGAGAAAAATCAATGAAAAAAACAAACAAACAACATACTCAAAGTCATGTTTAGTGCAGATTTGATAAGAGTTCTGTAACTATCTAGCTATTGTTGAAAACACTGTCTCCGGCTTATGTTCAGTGTTTCAAGTCCCTGGTTTTAACCCTGTGAAGTGGTCTTAAATGTCTAGCTACTTGAATGCTACGTACATGATGTTGTGCTAAAAGACTAAAGGCTAAAGAAGTTGGCATCCTCACCAGTTGTTGATTTGTGTAGAAGAACAAAGAACCAGCCTTGGTCTTGTAATGATATATAGAGCCCTTAGCCCTATTAGCCTAATAATATAAGGAAAAATGAATTATTCTAAAGTAATCTTAGCTGGCTTATCTTACATACTCAGATAAAGAGGTTAGATTTACTGTGTGTGTTATTTTTGGGATTTTTTCAGCAGCGTGTGTCAATTCTAACATTAAAAGAGAAAAGACTTTTAAGGAACGTAATGTGAATCTAACTTTTGTGATGTTTGCCCGGGGTGGTTGCTGGAACGTAAACATCCTCAAATCTAATACAGAAAAGGACAAAGCTGAGCTCTTCACTGCATCTAGAGACGGCAGTTCTCAAGGCATGTGATGTAATGCAGCACGTTAGAGCAGATAAACACAAACACAAAGTTGAATCCATTTCTTTAATGCTGCTGCTCTTGTGTTTCTGGTTTTGGAGATGGTAAAATCCAAATCTAAACTTATTGATGTATGATTATTACAGACCGCATCGCCTTAACATGTGGAGAAACCAAAAGCGTAACAGGGCTGCCATGGCGATTCCAGTTTCTAAAATATAATCGGACAATTACTATTTGAGGGAGTGGTTGAATGACTTAGAAAGTGGGAGATGTTTTACTGCACCTTGCAACCCTCGCAGGTGATGCAGCGGTAGTGGTAGCCGGTCGCCTTGTCCCCGCACACCACGCACGGCTCATCCTTCTCCAGGTAGCTGGGGATGTACCCTGGAACAGAGACGCTAAGAGCTATAGGAGAGGAGGAGGAGGTTGAAGCGGAAGACAGGATGGAATGAGAGAGGGGTGAACAAAGAGCGTGATCGGGGAAGGGCCCGGGCAGACGGTGAGGAAGTAGGGGTGATGATGGAGGTTTTGACATGAGCGGGGCCGGAGAGGAGAGGAAGAGAAGAAAAGTGGTAGTGAAGAGGAGGAGGAGGAGGAGGAGGAGGAGGAGGAGAGGAGAATACGATGGGGAAAAGGAGGAGTGAAGGAGGAGAGGGAGGAGGGGGCTGAGTGTTATCACAGTGGCCTCAACGAAGCTCCTGTGTGTAGGGGCTCCAAGAGACTGTGATACAGGATGGAACATACACTATATAACACTGGCAGTCTTTTCTGCACACACAGCTTATGAGGTTCTCAGTCACATTCCCAGAACTCATGAAAGATGCTTTTTCATCCCGACTTTTCATTTGCTTAATTTCTCTTGAGAGATGAACCGTCTCCTTCTCCATCCTTTTTAATTTCACACTCACAATATGTATGTGATCTCACTCTCTTTAAACTTTTTAACCTCTAAGCTGTCATGTTGTTGCACAAGGACTGACAGTCATCTGGACATGCTCGGACGGGGCTTTCCCCTCAAATAGAAAGCCCCTCGTAGTTTCTGTAGAGCACAGACATGCATGCATGTCTAAGCAACTTCTCCACCTGTACACACAGCTTTACACACACATGACCCAGTCTCCTATCACAGTTGCTCGTACTCTCTCTCTCTCTCTCTCTCTCTCTCACTCACACACACACACACACACACACACACACACACACACACACACACACACACTTCAGTGGTTTTTGGGAAGCTAGAGAAAACTCCAGGGGAGGGGATTTACTGAGTGAATCTTCTCATACAACGGAAGTGACAGAAAAAGTAGATCCACACAGAGCTGAGCAAGACATCCCAGAGCTGCTGTCGGCAAAACTTAATTCAATTTTTACGTCTAAAAATCTGCAGCTTTATTTATCAAGCTGTTAAAAGTGGAAGTTTGGATCTCAGTGAAAGATAAAAGTAAAAATGCGTCACTTTTATCCCTATAAGCATAATATAACACATTATATAACCCAACATTTATAAAAATTTCTTCTTGATTAAAAATACAAAGTGTAGCTTGTTAGGATTTTACAAGGCGGCAGTATGATCAGATTTAAAATGCCTAAAACAAATGAAATATAACTCACATCAATATATGTATTTCCTTTTTATGAATGAATTTGAAATTATATGACAGCATCGGTTTAAAGTGTAATCATTAAGCTTTTGATAATTGAACAGTTTTCTTTAATTGTGATAAGAATTTTTCATACGACAATCTTTAAATAATTCAAGTAATAGAAAGTAAATAGAAAATGTATATTGTATTTCACTTTTTTTTATTTGTCTGTTAGTATTTTAAATCTTGTATAATGTAATACAAAATGTCCTCTAGCAGAGGCAGAATTTCTACTTCAGGTTTAGGATTTTTTATTTTTCATTTTTGGCCAATTTCCTCATGATTTTAATTACACATAGTTACATGCCACTTTTTGCAAATCTGTATGTATGAACTGCTGCTGGGGATATTCAGGACTAATAATAATGACACAGCCATGGAAAAATGAGGCAGGTTGAATCCTTGCAAAGAACTTATTATTTTTTACTTCAAAATTGGCTCTTTAGGGCATTCATAAGTATAACTCCCAGAACTTAAAGAGGACAAAACCTCTTTTTTTATGCCAACTTGTCCACAGTAACTGGTGTTACACATGCTTTTCCCTTGAGCACTAATGCTCCATTTTGTGCTGTTGAAATTTTCACTCAGGTTTAAGCCACATTTGGCTTCGAGAAGTGTCGGAAAATACAAATGAAACAGAGCTGTGTGTTTATGTGATTCACACTGGGCTATAATATGAATTAAATCTACTTAAGGCTACAGTGAACGCTGGTCAAATCCTGCAGCACATGAAACAACTGAACATCTTAAAAGAAACCCGTTTTGAATTGTTTGTTTGGAGGCGACAAAACCACAAAGCAGGTGAAGGCAGAAATGACGAATCCTTACCAGACATACTCTTCACTGAACACTGGCTGTTCTTCCTCTTTCTCTTCGGCACATCTGGCCATCTGGGAGGGGGGAGAGGAAGAAGATGAGAGAGGGAGAGTGTGAGTGCGATTATTATTATCATTTTTTTTTGATTAATAGATTGAACATCCAATCTACAAGAAGTGAAAATCACCCATCTCATTTACCCTGAGCCCAAGGTGACGCCTTCAAATTGCTTAGCCCCTTTACTACACGTCTGTAGTCTGGCATTGTCTGTGTGTCACCACTGTCTTGACTATTTGATGAATTGCCATTCAGGTTTGTACAGACATTCGTGGTCCCCAGACGATACATCCAACTGACTCTGAAGATCCTCTTTTCCTCTAGCGCCGTCATGAGCTCGACAATTTATTTAATTATATTTTCACTGAAACATCTCGACAACTATTGGACGGATTGAGTGAAATTTAGTAAACAAATGTTAGCACGCTAACACGCTCGACTAACACGATGCACATTGTAAACATGATAGTTGCTTAACATCTACAGGCTAGCATTATCATTGTGAGCGTGTTAGCATGCTAATGTGTCGATATGCTGGTAGTGTGACACACAAACTGTGGCTTGCTAATTTCAATGAAGTAATAGCCAGCGTTAACGCTAATACTGCGGTAACCATTAATGGCTGGTATGGGACTGTTTATGGACGGTCACAACTGCAGCCATCTTTTTGATAATAAACAAACAAAAAGGTGGCCTGGCTGCGGAGGAGTTACCTCTACACATCTTGACTGGAGAGTCTTCTGAGCAGTTTTCTCCTCTTTGTGAATTCATTTTTACTTATGCCCAAATACGATTTTTTCAATCACATAGCCAATTTCAAAAATATAGTTTTTAAAGACTAATACACCTTGTGCTTTCAGTGTCTGTATGGGATACTTGGAAACGAAATTGAAAGAATCATACCTACACCAGTAAACATACACACACACACACATATGCACACACTCTGCACGTATGTAGACAACACACATACTCCCCCTTTATAGATAATTCCTTCCCTCATCTCCTCCCCACCTCCTATCTCTTCCTATAATTCTCTATCCTTCCTCTTTTCTCACTCTCACAGGATGGAGTCTGCATTTGCTCCTGGCAGCAGATTTGGATTACCGTCCTCTACCCCCATGTCTAGTTGTTTGCTCTGCCACCCGCCCCCTCCCCCCATTCCCATTTCCCTCTCTCCCCCATAAAATCTCTCTCCCTGTCCCTCCTACTTTTGTTACTCCCTACGTCTTTCTGTCTGCTCCCTCTTTCTCTCCGTCTTTTCCTCCCAGTCATTTCTCTTTTTCCTCTCCTCCACCCTATCTCCTCTTCTCCCTAAACTTCCATCAGCAGTGTTAGGTAACACTGCTCCACACTCCTCTCTCCCCCCACCCCCTCTCACTGGCTGTCAAATCCACTTTGCTCTTCCAACCAAAAAAAAAAAAAAAAAAAAAAAAAAAAAAAACCCCTCTGACGTCTCTGTCTTTTTCTCGGTTCTTGCAGCTCTTCACGGTCAGGCAAACTTATTAATTTTATTGCTGTGCACATGCTCAGGCAGTAACACTGTGGGAAACCATCGCTCTGGTTTGAGATCACTTTGTGGTGAGCTACTATAACAGGACAAAACTCCACATTATAATTTCTGCATCTGTTAAAAACAAACAGAATCTTCGATAGACCTCAGTTTATGGCAGCTGTGTTGACAGATCTATGTCGGCCATATGCTTCTACGCACTATAAGCAGGCAGGTAAATATGGCCTTCATCACTTCTAGAGTCATTCATGCAAGCGCTGTGAGCCCTGAGTCAAAACTGAGCATAATGAGCATAAAAAACTACAACACTGTCTGTTAGGAAGTAGACAGGTCAATGAAAACTGCAAGAAAATGTGCTCTGTGCAACAATCAGTGCTTTTCAATATAGTATTTTACTCATATCTGTAGTGTATTGTGGTCTTATGATAATGAAAATCGATTGTTTTAATTACACTGTACATGTAAAAGCCCAACAAGGGACAAGAGTTGAAAATTAGCAATAGCTATAAACTCACAGATCAGTTTCATGTTTTGTACTGGAACTGATAAAATGCATTGTCCCTATTAAATAAATAAACAAACAACAAAAAAAGAAACTTAAAAAATACGCTGCTGTTCGTTCATTCATTCATGTTTGGGGACCGTAGAACAATCTGCAAACGCCACATCTGACATATAATCACCTGCTTTTCCAGTTTTTATTGTGAATGTGTGAGCAAACAGTTATCCAGCAGACATGGACAGAAACATTATCATCCCATTGGAACTTTGTTTAAATCACCTGACGCAGTATTTCCTTTCACTTTTTAACTCGTGCAGTTCACAACGATAATGCTGGCAACTCAAGATTAAAACAATTTTCAAAATAATGGTTTCTTGATTTCAGACAGGTGGATGAATGCAGACTTCTCATTTCTAGCCAGTGAACATAAAGTCTTGTCTGTTGAAATGCTAATTAGATTTGATCTGCTGTAGCGAGCCAATCAAGCTAATGTAGACTTCATGGGTTGACTTTGACTTGACACGACTTTGAAATGTGTCCAGCGTTAATTCTTTTGTAGTAAACTACTTTGCCAAAAATGCTAATGTTTGTAGCTTTGGTCAAAGCAAATAAATGCATTGTTTAATCAATTATTACATGTTTATTGCCATTTTTTTCTTCTTATTTTTGCTTTTGATGAGTGTAAAAGTTGAAACAACCATCCAAACTTGACACGTCTCCCATTACGCATAGTTATTTGGTCCATTGTGATTATTGAAAATATTGCCTAGTGCAGCTTTAAAGCTGCTGTGTTTAGAGTTTGTCAGTCTCAAAATGTAGTTCTTTTGGATGGCAATACAATTAAATAAAGACTGGACAAATAATGGCTATAAATAACTACCCTGTGTTACAGTTGCAACAAGGAGCCAGTCTATAGCTCTGTCCTGAGGGCATCAGCTGAAAGATCATCAGATGTAAGATGCTGGTGGGGAGGGGTGGGGGTGGGGGGGCTCTGACAAAAGCTTTGTTAAGTTAGCATGGTTTATTGAATCATTTACATGCATTAACACCTCCTGCACAATTTACCCCCCCCCCACCCCCCCACCCCCACTACACTGATAAGGCACCATGTTAAATCTCACCAAATGAACATAATGTACTGGTCTGGGGGAGTTTCCCTGCTAATTACTTTAGCAAAAAGAAGGATAGCAACAAATTAGTTTATAAAAAGTTCCTCAAGAATCATGTGAATAATTAGATCATTTGTTTTATTTGATAAGTCCAGACATTTTATTAGATGAAAGTACTTTAATGTGATAATCACTGGAAATCCAATTTGTTGACTAATGACGGTAGTGAACTCAAGATTAATACATTTGTGTAAAAACAGCCAGAACAATGACACAAACTGAAGGAGAGGGCAGTCCGTCTTAACTGCACCTAAACACAACACTTAATCTGTTGTATACATGTAGTACAGGATATAGATGCCAGCGGTGGCACGCACACACGCACACACACACACACACACCCACACACCCACTGTCAACTCACAGAAATAGACACAGACATGTATATCCACAGCGTGCACACCAACCTGTTGATGCAGTATGGCTGTAAGATATGCATGGTGCTCCCTTTGCAGGAATATCAGAAGAGGAGAAATGTAACCCAGCAGCTCTTCCTGCTGTTTCAGCCTGCCAGCAGTCGAGTTGAGTCAGTGCACGTGTCCCATTCAGCCTAGTTTTTACATGAAAACCAAACTGTTGTTGTTGCTCCACTTGGGCAGCACAACAATAGTTCCACTTCTTCAAGAGCAGACGAGTGAAGCAAACAGCAGCTTTTTTGCTGATCTGTAAACCTCTAGGAGTAGGTGCTTAAATCCCCGGCCACCGCCATGCTGAACCAACCTCCCCGTGAACTGGCTGCTCAAGTTGATCCCGGCTGAGTACAGTAGAGTCGAGCCGCGGAGCCTCGAGCTGCTGCTATCAGCTGAGATATCCGAGTCAACAGTAGCTCCCTGCCTCAGACTGGCTGCTGGGAGGAATGGCTACTCTGTTTATTCCCTCCTCTCCCCCTCTCCCCCTCCCTCTCTCTTTCTCTCCCTCCCCTCGTCACCTCCTGGTAACATGCTCTCCGTCTTTCTCTGTCATCACTACACACCTCTTCTACCTTGTTTATGTTCTCTATCACTTCCTGTCCTTGCTTTACTGTATTCAATTTGTCTTTCTTCTATTAAACACCAAAATCGCTCAAACATCCGTCTTCCTCTATTCCCTCCATCGCCTTCTCTCCGTCTCTGTCACCTGTCATCCCTGCTGATATTTCTTACATTTGACTCCTGTCACTTTTTCCATTCGTGCCCTTTTCATTTCCGCCTTTCTTCTGTTTTGCTCTTTTCATTTTGTCCCACATGAGAGAAAAAAAAAAAAAAAACCAAAACAACGTTGCCACTCTACATCCAAACTCACTTAAGCTTTAATGCTAACTTGATTACATAACAGCAGGCTGATGCAGTCTCTCCAGTACAGCTGAGTGAAGTCTTATGAGGACACAGGGATGCTAGATATCTCATCAATTGAATTAGACTGCTCTGTGATCTCTTCTTGCTCCGAGTGTAATCATGACTAGTTATCATCAAGGACGTAGTTGCAGCAGGAAAACAAAACTATCTTGAGGTGTGCACCTGATTGATCACTAACAGGATTTATCTGAGGCATAAAAGCTGCGCTGCGATTTAAGCACCCTCCAATGCCGTAAACTCCCAAGTGAAAGCACTCCAGTAATAGCTGGCTGGCTGCTAAATAAAGGCTGAGTGTTGGAATTACCTCCACTATAATGGCAAACAGGGTAAATTTAGCCAAATGTGTACTTACTCCGTCACTACATCAACAGCGTCGTGTCACGCTCACCGCCTTGCTGCTCTGGCTTTCTATTTGTTAACAGAAACACTGCTCTCACTCACAATATGATTTCCATTCACCTCCACTTTGCCGTTTTTTCAGTAACAGTCAATGACACCT